AAAAACAAAACATTGCGTGCTCCGCTCAAAACACACTCCATGTCCTCGCATGATTTCCTCTGCAATTACAACCACATGGGCCGATTTTTAATTTCAAATACGGACCCAGCGGGCAGTATATTTTCTGTCGGTTTCGGTGACAATCGAGAACCAAGCCCCGTTATCTCTGTCGAGCGTGATGAGCTTTACTAATCTATAAATTTCAGGCGGATAGGCGCCTAAAGCAGAACGTGGCCGACTGAAGGAGATGAAAAGATTAGGTTGTTTCGCCTATGATTCTGGTTGCACCGCACCTTCAGGCAGATCTGAGAGGAGGAGGTGAAGGGGGCAGAAACTGGGCGGGTTCTGCATACGGCACATAAAGCCCTCTTTTTCGTTACCAGGATCCTCTCGAGCTCTCACAGGAAGAGAGAAGACCCTAGAAACGAAGTGTTCTTTTCCATTCCCTGACCTGAGCCACGCTGGATCGTCGAGTACTTTTATTATTTTTTTCCGAGAAATGTCATATCATAAATTATCAGGGAAAAAGTACTGTTTCCACCGGTTACCTTTATAAAAAGATGCAGGAATGGGTTCTTTCAAACCCGACAAAGTATATGGGAACTTCAAGTAATGGGCGTGATATTTCTTTTAAGTTGGGATTAGCTTTTAGCCTGTGGATAAATTGCACTATACGTAGTGCGACTCTAGCTTCTTGAGTGCTTGGCAAACCTTCCAAGTGCAGTCATAACTCGATTGTTGCACTCTGCACGTCAACCATTTCTTTTATAACATTGAGACTTTCAAAAATTTTTCATTTTACGTTCGTGTAGAAAAAAAAAAAGAAGCAAAACAAACTGACGTCAACATGCAACCTACGGGCAAATGGATCGAGCGTATTAGCCAATCAGAGCGCGTGCTTTTTGTAATGCCGTCAGAATAAAAGGTGTTCATTTATTTTAATTCTAATTAATTTCATTTAATGCAGTAAATGGTTTGAACCCGGGGGTAACATGTGAAGGTGTAGTCTGATCGTCCGGGTGAGTGTAGTCCTGAGAAGGACTGTTGTCGGTGGTAGTGACTGACGTTTCGACAACCTGTGCGGAAGTCATCATCAGAGTCAAGTGAATGATTGTTGTCAGTAGAATGTTCTTATTCCAGTTCGTGTGAAATGATCGGTTGGTTTTGCCGTGATGTTATTGGCTGTAAGACTCAAGTGACGTAAGTCGGTCGTGATTGGTCTGTTTCGATCTGTCTGTAAAGTTAGGTCGTTCTTTTTCCGTCGTTTGTGATGTTTATGTCGTGAATGAGTCGTTTGTATGGAGTGGGTAGTTGTTGACATCTGTTTAGGGGAGTCTGTTCTAAGTTAGTAAACCAGCTTTCCAGAGTCAGTCGTTGAAAATAGTCAGAGATGTAGAGGGGAGAATTAAAACTCAGATGAGATTCATACCTCCTGATCCTGGTTACCAGAATCATCTTGAAGCACATACAGCGTTGAATGATCTTCGTGATCAACCTGATGGGTGTGATGTGCAGCAAACTGTTCTAGAGGAATTCCTGTTGGGTCTACCGTCTCAGTTGTGCTCACCATGGATGGGTTTGACTCAGAAATTGTTGTCATAGAGACTGAGGAGTTAGTATCGAAGGATGTGGGTTCTGAAGTGATGACATAACTAGTTCCGTCACTGCTCTGATGAACATAAGTTGCTGGTTAAAGATGAAAAAAGAAATGGAATATGTTGGTGTACAGAAAGTATGGCAGGCCTTTCATAGTGAATATATATATCAATTTATCAGAAAAGCAAACAGTCATAGGACTAGAGAAGTTGGTGTCTGGGAAGTAGGGATGGTCTGTCAAAGCCTCATTTTTTTAAGTCGTCACTGGAGTTGCTTATCAAGTACTAGACTGTAGTCAGCATTAACCCTTATAACTCCCAGAAGTGATTAACATGAAACTTCTCCCTATAATATCCCTACGTTATTCAGCAAATAGGTCATGAGAATACTCAAACTTATCAGATAGAAATTGTTATCTGGATCTAACACCAAGTTCTCATAACTTATTTACAAGGAGATGTGTTGCAACTAGAGGGGAGAATTAACAATCAGATCAAGTAAGCCATTTGATACAACATAAATTCTTTGAAATAACCTCTCGACTCCTCAGATCTGAAAAAAAAAATTATCTAAACTTATGACAATGCCATCAATTTTTCAATTGAGAAGAATTTTTGGACTGTTTACTTTACCTTCAAAAGTGCTTCCGGCAGGGAGAGTTTGCACAGTCCCACCAGGAAGTTCAGTCAGGGTCACAGCCTGTGGTTCTAGAAACACCGTTCCACCTGGAGTTGAACTCACTACTACAGCCGATTGGACAAGGTCACCTGGTGCCAAGCTGGTCTGGACAGACTGATAGCCTTCATTACCTGCAGGTTATTTCCACATCTAAATAAATTTTTTTTGGATGAAGGGTTGAGTTGTCAAGGTGTTCCATCATCAGAATGTGAATTCACAACCTTACTTGAGATTTCAATTGCCTGGGAAATTAACTAATCAAATATTCGACTAACTGAGGAGCTTGCCACCTGATTCTGATGTTGACTCATCTTTGGACTTAAAAAGCATCCTTAACTGCCACCTACAACAGTTCTAAATTACTTTTATTAAAACTTGGGGATCCCAATTTATAATAAACCAAGGTCATGTGGGAAGAAAAAAATAGATGGAGAAGAGAACAGCAAGTAGATACCGTATATAAAACCAACAGTAAGGGCAACGATTAGATAAAGACAATCTTCACTTTCAAATGGTTCTTTTTAGACACCACCACATCCTATGAAAATGGGTAACAAACAGTTTTTGTCTTAAGTACCAATAATAGCACAATAAAAGAGGGAAATTTGGACTTAACCATTTTTTTTTAAGCCAGTGCACCTTAGTTTATTCAGATTTTAGTTCTATTTGTCCAACATTACAATCCAACAAATGTTTTTGCTTGCCTGTGATTGGTCAAAACACAACATGTGACCAAATGTCCCCAACTAAAATGGGGGGATAACCAAGGATATACCCACATGTAGTTACCACATGCACAAAGTGATATTCTCTAACTTTCAAACCTTACATCCAATACAGAAAACACTGCATTTAAATTTAATTTAAGATGAGAGAGTGTTGTGTGGTTGTTACAGAAGAAGGAACAGGCCTTTTGTTTTTTTTTATAAAATTGTATCAGATAACACTGAAAAGTGAACATCCCACACCATAAATGGTAAGCTGTTTGTATACATTTCCCTGTGCACTGAAAAATATTTGAAGGATAATAGTCACAACAGCCTCCATTTGGCTCAAAAATATGCCTTTGTATTTGTCCTTGGACATTATCTGTTCTGCAAAGCTCACAGTTTTCCTCAAGCTTTGCTCTTGGAAACCTGTTCGCATCTTAGAATGGATACATGTAATATCGGCAGATAAATATCTGTGCAAATTTTTGCAACAAATGAAGGGTATGGTTTAAATATTCCCAGCTTGTTATTTCATTTCCTCTCTTTCATGCCACTTTCATGGTATAGATACTATAAGGAAAAATTGCTAATTGTTCACTCCTAGGAGTAGAGGTTTAATGATATTTCTTGACATACCATCTTGTTGTTCCACAGAGGCCATAATGGTGGCTGTAGCAGCATCTTGTTCTCCTTGTTGAGCAACTAGAATTGAGTCTGTATCTTTTACTTCAACATCTGTGTCTTCGCTCTAGTAGACAAAAGAAAGAAACATGTTGCAAATCTTTGGGTTTATCCTCAAAGCCACACCCACTCATTATCATTAGCTACATTACTAATTAAAACTCCTTGTTTAATGCTGAATCCTGAAGGTACAGACATGTCAATTTACAGAATCCACACTCTCTGTACGTTTCACTGACAAGACTGATTTTTAAAGGTGTTATGTCACAAATATTTTTTCCTATAATTTTTAACTTCTGACAAAATGTAAAGTTATTATAAGCATTCAAACTGTAAGTATCATAAGGAATTATGAGACAGATATTTTAAATTCTATGATAGAAACTGGAGAGCAGAGGAGGAATGGTGGAACTATTACTTCCCACTGCAGTGGCCAAGTTAGTTCATTTTCTTTCTTGGAATATTCTTCTGATTGATCTAGGTCTTGGTTCTATGTCTTGGCTCTAGGTATTGCTGATTTTGCCAACAAATCTAAATCCAGTTCAATATGGAAATAGAAGATAAGCAGAATCCTCTCACGGAAGTAAACCAATTGGTATAGGGGAGGGGAGGGGAGGGACAGGGGCAGAGGATACATTACATCAGAATTAACCAGACAGTAACTTGATCTAAAGTCACAAAATGTATAGCCCAGTTTCCACCATTATGGCCACAAATCAGCTTAGAATAAAGTTCTCGACCAGGGCCCAATCACAAAACAAAATGTCACCTTTTCATTATCAGTGATATAGCAACACTTACAATGACAATAGCTTTGTTTTCAGTGTCATGTGGTTGTAACACATCACCAGTTACCACAGCTACAGCACTTGGAACAGATGATTGGTTTGCATAGACACTTGATGGCTCAAGTTTACTGGGACTTGTAAAAACTTGCTGTTGTGCTAACAGAAGACCAATCACTTCTTGCTCTGTGGAATTGATTGGTTGACCAGCGATGTGACTGACAGCTACAGGTGCCAGATCACTGGGTTCTGACAGAAAAAATGTTTGGATCAAAATCATTATTAAAATAAACATTGAAATATGATTCATTGTTCAAGATTTGCAATTGGTGTTAAGGTTGGTGGTTGTTCACCATAAATTAGCAGGGCTTGATATAATAACTTTTCAACTTACTAGCCAAGTGGCTAGTGACAACTTAGATGTCGCAACAATTTCAGTTTTTTTACTAGCTAAACTGGCTTGTGGAAATCGAAAACCACTAGCCAAAACTGAATTTCTACTAGTCTGTGGCTAGTTGGCTATTGTTAGTGTCAAGCCCTGAATTATATAGATATGTTTCTAAAATTTCTAGAAAAATCAATCTGAATTTGCATCTCCACAAAAATAGCATAAGGGCACTTGGGATCCATGAATTGGAAGAAGAGAAAAAATGAGAAGCACAGATCCCAGTTTTTTCTCTCCCATGTACATATGTTCAAGGCTCCTTATATATTTTTACAAATCCTGCAAGTGCTTTCAATGACAAGGCTTTTGAAGAGATTATATCATCTTTCATTCTCCAAGACGAAGTGGTAAGATATCATAATGAAAATTTGACACCATTTTGGACTCAAAACCTAAAATTTAAACTCAAATCTAACATTATCCAGTTAATCTACAACATTATCAATGTATATGAAAGCATTCTTGACAGTTATGAACACTACTTTAAAAGCAGTAGTGAAAATAAGGCCTGAAAAAAAAAAATCAGGCCCATATGGGATTCGAACCCATGACTGCTGCGATACTCATGCAGTGCTCTACCAAATGTTGGTTGGCAATCCACATTGTTGTCATCAAAAAGAAAAATAAATATACCAGAGTACCTTCTAATTGAACTTCCTTTTCTCCTTTGATCATTCCATCCAAATCAGCATCCATGGTTTGTTTTCAGACTACTTAGTGTCTGAAATAAAAATTTGTGTTTGAAAATCATTTTGAAAGAAATGTTGCGCACAAGGCAACATACACACAGTATGTATGTGTACATGCAGTGCCACTCAAAAATAAGGCAACACCACTGACTAGTCTTAGACGCTTGTCTGATATGTCAACCTCTGTAAACAGACTAGTTTAAAAAGTGCCATGACCAAGTGTGTTTGCTCTGCGCTTGTGTTAGAAAATATTAATAAAAAACAAATTAAAGATTACATTCACAATTGTGGATGAGTAAGCTGAGCATGCAGTCTAGTAAATCTTCTGAATCAAGTAAATCTGGATATTTTTCTTCACAAAAAGAGAAATCAAGTACATTTTGTCTCAATAACAAATCATCTAATTTGCGTAATAGACTTTGCTCACCACTGAGTCTCTGAGGCTGAGTGGAAGAGCATCAGAACACAAAATCAGGTCTGAGGCTTGATTCCTCATGGGGACTCTGAATTTTTCCATTGTCCCATGCTCATACAAAAAACATCTTTCTCTATTCCGTCTGAATTTTTGCTTTTAGATTTAATTGAGGTCTTCGTACATCCATGTGATCAACCAGGGTTGCCACTCATTAGAACCCAAAAAATTCCCTGACTTTCCCTTGACCTCAAAACATTTTTCACTGACCTTGAATTAAATTAATTATCAAACAGGCCAAATCCACTATTACATCTCTCCATTGCTTTTAAGCTAAAGTTCTATCCAATTTGCTACACTCGATTGACTACTTCACAAACCTTTGTAGAGCCCTCAAAACAAAATTCCCTGACTTTGACAAGAACTAACATTTTTCTTGACTTTTTGCAAAATTCCCTGACCTTGAAAAATTTTTGTTTTTCCCTGACCGTGGCAACCCTGTCAACCATCTGTTTGAGGCAAGAGACTGAGACAAAGCTGTCCAAAAATAAATTTAGCAAAACGCAGGGGAGGGGGTTGGGGTTGTTCACAACATCTGCTATCAAACATCTGCAGATTTCACAGTTTGGAGGGGTTGTAATCTTAGAGTTTAGGATAACATTCACGAATGCCTACAATTTTTTATTTTCCAGAAGATAAAGTTTGATGGCCATAAATAAAACAATAATAAACTGAGGAAAAAATAGCTATTTGAACAAGGGGAAATAAGGAAGAAATATTGTGCCAATTGTATTCTAACTTGTGCAGTGTACATTCCAATCATATGTGAGTACAGTATAGAGACCTGAGTCCAGTAAAAATGGAACATTTTGAGGAAAGACTTGATATAAATATAGCATAAACTGTAAAAAAATGGTCCCTAGACTAACAAAACCTGAATTGAAGTGACACATTCTGTGTAATGGCACAAAAGGGACAAAAAAATACATAACCTAACTTATGGAGACTGGGCTGCATAGTTTAGATAATTAAGTCCTGATAATCAAAAATACATGTATGAACGTTACTGAGCCAAAAATAAAACTGAAAAGGCAGCATTTAGTCAACATTCCACAAAAATTTAAAGACATTCTCAAATCATTGTGCATCATCCACAAACATGGTTTGAGTTTTCGGGGGTTAACTCATAAAGAAAACTTCCTTGAGGGACCTGAAGCAGAAATTTTCATACTTAGTTTTATTCAAAAGCAAGAGAGAAGGACAGGGAAATACTCAAAGTGTAGTTCTGAGTAAAAAAAAAAGCAAAGTATGTCTACACTCATTGCAAAAATTTGCAAAAATGTTGACACCTAAAAGGCATGAGATCCAATGGCTTTGTGGAAAACATTCATGCAGATACTTATCAGTGATTCACTTCTCTCACCATTCATGAAAATCCTTAGTTATAATAATCCTTTTTCTTCCAGTTAAGTGTGGATAGCTTCCAAGATTGTCATGTGAATGAACCCAGAAGGCAGTAAAGTCTCATCTTTCATTGTAAATTATTAAGTGTCAACATTTTTGCAATCCAGTGAATAGTCCCTTATAGTTGACATGTTGTGATACTATATATTATCGGATGACCTGACCCATTCCACACCACTCAGACAATTCAAGAGAAAACCATCATGAATAGCAAAGTGTGTGGGACCAAAAGGATTGACGTGAGCCAGCCAATGAAACATATGCAGCCCAATACTGACCTGGTTCTGTTGCATTTTCTAAAAGTGTGAATAATAACTGTGAATTACAGGTTGACAGAAGACAGACATGAGAAAAAGAGAACCTTTTTTCACAAATTGTTTATTGTTCTGACCTAAAGAAATAAAGGAAAATTTCACTGTAGAATCACTTGTTAGGTTGTCTAGTGCCTGCATCACAAATTTTTTTGGTCAGTGCGTGCATAAACTCGTATATGCGTGTCTGACTTTCCTGTGTCTAGGCATAAGAAATGTGTCTGTGTAGTTATACACAAGGAGTACTGTATACGAAATGACTTAGAGCCATACATTTCCCCACCTTGCCCTCCCTCACTGTCAATGTGCCCTTGAATTCGCAAATCCACCTGTGTAAATTGCAACATCATCTATCGAGGAAATTACTATTTTTAACTCAGATACTTATTTTATCGATGTATCTATATTATTTATTTCTATCCAAGTAAAGTTCTTGAAATGATCGATTAAGTTAAAACAGACAGCTTCTCATCACAAGTTTGTCATATAAATGTCTGGGAGATGCATAAAACTCCAATAACAAAGCAACGTTTGAAACGAAACCGGAATTTTCTTGTTTAATCTCTGTCTAAGTCGACTTTGCTTGTCCGATCACCTAGGTAATATAGGCATAACTCATAAAACTTCCAATAAAATTCAAGTCAAATGAAGAACTTAAACTCAAATCGTCCACTTTCTGGCGCTGACTTAGAGTCCCGAAAAGATTCGATATCCCGAAGGTTAAACAAAACGAAGCAACGTGCGCGTTCAAAGGCGTTCGAGGTCCATAATTATTCATTCATAAATTTCAAACCGCTACAGCTTACAATCCACCCCGAAGATATTACCACTGCTCAACAAAACTCAGTCATTCGAACCTACTATGAAATGACCTAACATCTTTTTAACATTCCAGCGACTAAGCCACGTTTCCATCAAAAGAGCGCCATCCTCGAGCGAAATCAATAGTAAAAGAACCCGTGGCCGCCATTTTTGTTCGCTTAGACGTCGTTGAAAGGCACAAATGCTCGAAATTTTTCACTCGTAAGGAAATAACCTAACCGTAATCATTCATCCAATCCATTCAGCAGTACTAAGATAAAACTACAAATACCTGAAGCTTGGGTAAACGCAAAGCACGCCGGGCTTCAAGTGTTGAACGCTGGGAAGTAAAACCGTTTCCCAACAGCCACCTTCATAAAACACTAAACAACGACCAAAGGAGGATCTGGCACTTCGGCTGAACGATGGATAGCCGATCGTCGCCGAAAATAACACCAAAGGACGCGATTGTCCCCGACGGTGGCCGAACCAGGTTACCTCCCGTATATGGGCATCTTGGCCGGCAAATATGGCGGGAAAATGATAGAATCACATCAGTACCTAAACTTTGTAGCTTTCGATGCGAAACTTACCATTTTTCGACGCTAATGCGATCAAGAAAGGAAAAACCTATGATAGCTTGATCACAAGGCCTTTTGGAAATGGCAACTTTCCAGAGTCTAATGATTGTAACGAACACTTGTCAGATCCAAAGGCGGCTGACATGATATTTACATATTTGAAATATCTTCACGTCGAGACCTTCTAATTTAATAATTACACCGCTGCTCTACCGTTTATGTTAGGGGGCTCGTATTCAAGAAAAAGGGGCGGCAAATGGAGTATCTAGCACTAGAAAAGATTTATGCCATGCAGATTTATCCGGTTCGCGCGCGTGGATTAAAGGGTTTGTGTGAAAATGACATATACTTAGGGAAGGTCCCCCTATCAAAGTTACATCTCCTTGGAAGCATATTACCAAACCTTCCTCCCCAATTCCATAATCAAAACCTCTAATCGTAAAAAGATCTGTCATGCTTCCAAATTCCATTAAGATGGTCGGGTAAGCCTCATTTTGTAAAAACTGGGTGCGTGATGATTTTTCTAACAACAATCTGGGATTGCTGTCACTGAAAATGGAGGACATTTTGAATAAGTCAGATACCCGCAGGGCTTTCCTTTACTTTTGTGGTGTAGGTAGCATCGGCCTTGCTTTGGTTTACATTCACCGGCATCACAGTGACGTTTATTAAAACGATCTTACAAAAAAGAGATACAGCAACTGGAAGAACTAACTTATCTGAGACTTAGTTTCAATCTGATCATCAGCTATACTTTTGTGTTCAACTGTTGTCAATTGCAATCAGGTTTTTCGGACCGATGTGAATTATAACGAGAAAGAAAGAAAAGAAAGTTTTGTCACCCAATATTGGAGGTAGCTTGGTGCGCTAATAAACCTTTAAATGGTAGCATCATTTTCAGTTCTATTTCCTTGCACAGTTAAGACTGATGTTGATTTTGCCCTGTTGGTCATTTTCTTCAATTTTGTTACACTTCAGATTCAGTGAATTTACCCATTAGTCAACTGCATTGTTGTATGACAACAACTTGAATTACCCAAGAAACAAAATACTACGGGAACCAGCCTTATTTCCAACTCTAGAAACGAGTCGAACAAAAGAATGACTCTTAAGCCACGTGACTAGTTCGCTTATGTCAAATCACGTGTCCTGAAGAGGTTCCTCGGGACCATCAGTAGAGGCTAGCGGTTGGAGTTCACGGCGAGAGACAATTGGCCCGCCTTGTTTTAAAGCACTGCAATGAGATGATACTGAATGCTAAGTAAATACAGGGAGATTCAAATGAAGAACTTCTCGGTAAAATGAATTGTTTTTTATCGTTCATTTTCTGCTGAGCTACGGAGTAGTTAGGTTAGAGTATCTTAGAATGATTTGGCCTTAACAATTAAAGTTTCAATTATAAAATTCGAGTTGAATTGATCTTTGCAATACCTTACCATCGCCGTTCCTTTATAGTTTACTTTTCCTATCTTATGGTTTATCTGTCTAACCAAATTGTATTCTAAGATTTCTCTGAAGTTGAGGGTAAGTTTTCTGGAATCAGGAAACGAGGAAAAGAGAAAATTCTGTTAATATTAGACTGTGTCTAGCCTTGCACTTTTTTCACCAAAACGGTGAAGAAGACATCAGTCAATGTGGCAAGTGGACTCACCATTACAGAGTAATTGTTTTCCAAACCTATAGACTTACCTATTTGTTTGATGATTCGAAGCACCAACCTCTGCCAAATTGTCCGCAGGCGTCTCGCCAATGAAATGATCAGCAACAAAATAGCCTTTTAAACTGTTGAACAAAACAAAGCAAAGCAAAAATTAAAGCAGGACACCATACCTGTCAGCCAAAAAGCAAAATATTTACCCCAGCCCTCCCCTGTTCCTTCCCTTGTCACCCCTTCTTGATAGCTTTTCCTCCTTCACCTTTCCTTTCAATCTGTTAGTTATAGACTAATGAAATCACTGCAGTGACTCATATACCGAGTAGCTCTTCGTCAACTATGGCAAGGTTGGGTCAGAATTTGTAGCACTATTGTGTCTTTTTTTTGCCGCCATAGAGATGAAAACCACAACAAAATCTCCCATTATGAAATACCGCCTTTAGAAACGGGCTACCGGCCGCACCAGTGGTCAGGAAGTTTAACAAAATTTTCTAATCCTCTTCTACCTTTTTAATTGAGTAACAATTTGCTTATCCACGAAACTCTTTCTGATCGAGCAAAGGCATTTTAAAATTTATAACTTACCTTGTTCCATCTTTGCGTGTGAGCTCACCGTATCCATGCTTCTTGTTATTGTGCATGGCGCCTGTGTACTTATCCCCGTTTAAATAAACAACAGCATCCTCTTCTCTAGAAACCTGTTCAGTTTCTTTCACGAACAGAAAATCATCTTCTGCATCGCAACAGTCGCCGCAGTGAAAGCAGGGTTCACAGTATTGAAAGCAACAAGGATGACGGCAGCGAAAACTCTCTCCAAACTCGATCAATTTACAGCAGTAACACAAGCAGCATCTGGAACAAGTGGCACCCATGTTTAGCTTGTGTCTTACTGCTGAGCCTGGAGAAAGCGTGATGTAATGTAATACTACGGAGGCCCCCAGAGGTCAATGTAATCCTAATTTCATATCAACTATTGTTGAAATGTTAATCGTGTTATTTGAAGGTCAAATTTTGTTGATCTATGGCGCGATTTGTTTTTTATCCAAGGAGAAGACAACTATTTGAGTATATTTAGTTCGCAGGAATCTATTTACAGAAGTTCAAAACAATTATAAGATTCATGCCTAACTCCGGTTGTCTTAGATGCATCCACCCACACCTACGTGTCACGTTTATCCGTAAACAAGAAAAACAAAAACAAACAAACAAACATCAATGCTGCAACAATGGGCCGTTTTCGATATATTCAAATCCTAACATGGGTCCGAGGTCTGGGGGAATAAAACAAAAATAAAAGTAATCAATTATTTAACTCTCAACCTCGACATGATTTCTTCTGTTTTATATCTCCCCCAAGCCTCTGAGCCAAGTTTGAATTTTGATATATCGTAACTGGCTTATTGAGCAATAGCCTTCGTGTAGCCGCACCCTCCCCCCGCGCCCCGTTTCTCCACGGGGGTAGGGTGCGGCTTCACGAAGGCTAATTTAGCAAACAGTCATTATTTATCGCTACGGGGAAATCAGGCAAATTTTAATAACACAACAAAAATATCTCCCGACCCTCCCCCTCCCCTGGCAATGAAAAGTGATCAATCCCTACACTGCAGAGGACGATTCTCAATGATCATTATGGTATGAGACTCAGGCGATTTCCCCCCTAAGTCACTGGTGTGGAAAATAACGAACGATACGATTCATTTTGCATAGTTTTCTACCGTTTATTCACTATCAAATTCAATAACACGGAGCTTCAAATAACACTTTCGGCACACATTTGTTCATATGTCTTTAAAAATAGTTTTATGAGGATCGGTATGTTCACCTCCGTTTACATAGCTGTGCAAGGAACAGTGCTAGAGAATTCGGCTATTGAATACTTACACCTTCAGTAATTTAATTTACTTTACTTTAAATTTATATAAACTTACTTTATATCGAGTCCTCAGAGACGAAGTAATTTCTCATAGGGCATAGGTAAAAAAATAAGACCACATCCTCTAGCTATAGCTATAGCATGCTGTTTCAAACCCAGCAAAATTGTATCATTCGCCGGATGACCAGTAGTATTTAGCACCCCCGAAAAGCTTCGATGTGCACCTTGTGCGCACAATTGTTTGCCCAGCCCGGAAACATTACAGACTCTTACACTTGTATCGCATGCTCAATCATTTTCGGCAGTGAACAGAATAACAAACAACTTCTCAAACGGCGCGCGTAATTATCATTCCTTAATGTAAGTGCATGTATACTTTCTTGGCCTCGTTTTAGACTGAAAATAGACGGTAGTTAATCACCAGTGGAGGCGCGGTGGCCTCATGGTTGGTGCACTCGACTCCGGATCGAGTGGTCCGGGTTCGGGCCCCGGCCGGGGACATTGTGTTGTGTTCTTAGGCAGGACACTTTACTCTCACAGTGCCTCTCTTCACCCAGGTGTATTAAATGGGTACCGGCAAATTTAATGCTGGGGGGTTAACCCTGCGATGAACTAGCATCCCATCCAGGGGGGAGTAGAAATACTCCTAGTCGCTTCATGCTACAGAAACTGGTGGAGTTAAGCGCCGGCCTGATGGGCCACTGGCTCGTAAACAGACTTTACCTTTAATGACCAGTGCCCCGTAAACACGTGAGAAAAATTGGGCTTGTCACGTCTGAAAGGAGTCTATTTTCTTGAAATATGCTACAACTTAGTTTTACACATACTCAACCTTACGAGAAAGATCTGCAAGTTTGTGACAGAAGCAAAGAATATGGTCCACTTATTTTCACCTGTCGAGCATTTAAACTTTTCAATGTTAAAGCTCACAGGAAAGAAAGCTTCACCCACTTCTGGGCGTAAAATCTACCTCTTCCTCTTAACTATGTAAACTATTCTTAAGTTTTCGAGTGTGCCATGTTCTCCAGTTAGTTATCAACAACCTTGTGGTTGTGTTTTTGTCTTCTGAAACTTCACTGGATATAGCTCGTACAAAGGTTCAGGGACCTGCCCCACAGTGTCAGTACTTAAACTTATACATTTTGACTCGTGGCATTTATTTAATATTACACTAGCTGCTAAGAACCGAGCTTCCATCGAAAAGGCACAAAATTAATGCAAATATTACGATATTTTTAAATGAAGTCTGTTAATTGAATGTGGCAATGAATCTTAGACGAAAGGGTCGTAAGTTTGTTACTCATTGCCGTTCTTAATGGTTGAGTAGGATTGTGCGCCATTCGTGTCCGAGTTTATCTTTTGTTTCTCTTCTTTCCAGGCTTGATCGATCGCTTCTTGATCCTCTTTTCTTGTTCCACTAATGAAGAAAAACAACGCTCACTGTAAGAATCCAAAAGAAACTGCGTTTATCTGTTCTTTGTGCTCAAAGCATCATGGGTACTTACGACGCATCGCCCTCCTCGCCCGCTTGAATCTTGCTGAAGGGTCGTGACGTCACAGGACTCCTTCTCAGTCTCTCGTCTGGTTTCTCACCCACATATTCATCATCGTAGAAGAAGCCAACAACTCTGTTATGGGATAAGTTGTACAAAAGAAATCAAGACTCAAATATGACAAATGCAGGCTGAAAATGGTATTTGTTAATTAGACCGTGACTGGCAAGAGTGTCTAAAGTACCCATAGATATACCAGTGGTCTAGTTATTCTTTGAAGAGGGCATAGAAATTGATGGCTAGTAGGTTAGCGCGCAAATTCTTGCATGTCGCAAAAACACACTCAAAGTTTTCAGAAAGGCCGATCAGATCTGAGAGAAATCCTGAAACTCCAAGTTGATTGAACAAGTCATGATGGGTTTCAGTCTTTCATTGGATCGTTCAAAAGAGTGGGAGTTTTCTCCACCAATCAGAGAACGCGGCTGAATAGAACGAATCTAATCTAGCATCACTTTCGACACTTTAAAATTGCTTTGTTCAAGGGATGACCTTGCTCATTCTTTAAGCTTTAAACAGAGCCTCGACTCTTGCACCGATACGCTCATCTAATAGTTTTGCGCACTCTTAACTTTTTTGTCGATTAATGCGATGGTCCTACCGCATCTCGTTAAATGTGACAAATAAACTTCTTTATCAAAAACTTTTCTTGAAAATACAGGGGCTGAAAGCGGTAACATTTTTATATAATCATGAAATTTTTTTTAATGATAAAAAATAAAATCATGATATATCTTTCCTCTTTCATCGAACTAGGAAATATGAAATGCTTCCTTTTTATTAGATATTGAGACTATTTTCTTTTAATTCATGGTGGACTCCTTCAGTCTAACTAGTTACCTGAAATACAATACTTCGGAATCAACAGATGTAAACGGTAATAATTATTTAAAGCTGCGAGAGATAAAGAAGAATATTAAGTCTGGGCAAGACAAATATAAATGCATTCTTGAAAAACAAAGAATGTATGTTCATAGTGACAGAATGCTTGGGGAAACATAACTTTCTGCCCCCATTGTTACTTTTAATTGGACAGAAAGCTGTTTTAAAATGATAAATATCGAACGCTTGCATATGGATTCCATACATTTTTCAATATTGGCTCAAATGGTAAAGATTGGAGCGAGTGAAATGTTATTATATATTTGTTTCGATAGCTTTTCAGAACACTCTAGACCTATTGGTATTGAAAAGCGCAAAAACCTCACTTAAATCTCTGTATAAACCTTTAAGGACCTTGAAATTAACGAATTCAGGTATTTTCGACCTAGGAATGAAACTTATCGTTTTGTCGAGTTAACGCCCCTTTCCCATGAAACGATAACGTGGAGAGAAAAAGAAATTTTCATAAATTTGAAAAAACTGGTGTTGCCATGGTGACGAAGTTGCGACGAGAAAAATAGTTTGTCTTGATATTGGATAACAGAACATGTCTCGGCCGGGCAAGAGCTTGCATTTAATGCTCTTTTACTGATAAACGGATGAAGGTAAGCTTAGGTTTATGGGCAGAAGTTTCTACACAAACCGAGTTAAAACGGAAATCACTCTCTGATCTCCACAACGTTCAAAACCTTACGAATATTGTAAGTTTCCATCCATAGATTTCGAGAGATTTAGGTTTGAATATCAACAAAAATGCGGTGAGCTGAAGTAACAAATTGAATTGCAAATTTTTCCATTATTGTCTGACTTTGTTAGACGGCTGAAAGATATATATGGTATTGTCCATTGTCGAGGCTTTGACGTGTTTTAAAGATCGAATATAAACACGCCCTGTTTTTAAAACTGATCGAAATGTTTTGATACCCGATATGACAAAAACTACCGCTCCGTATAAAATTTGAAGCCTTTAATTGATCATTCAACGGTGCTTTATCAAATCTGCATTTTTTAATATATCGCGCACATGATCTGTCTAGAAGGCATCTAAATGATAAACTGCCAAAATGAACCCACCCGTTGGTAACTTAATCGTGTTTCCCTTTCTCTATGTCTTTGCACTGCTTTGCATCTATCTAAAGGGTGTACTTTGAATTGCTCCTTTTCTTGTGAACTAAATTAAACGCCAGACGTGAAACTAAGTAACAAGAGTAAGCTTTTTAAAAGATATACAAGACTTTTATTAAAAAGGAATCATGGGGTGATCTAATTACTTGGATTTTAAAAGGTTCGATCAGGCAAGAACTTTCCTCAAGAAAGTTCGCTTAAATTGCGGTTAATACTAGTTTCTCGTTTAGACGGTCGCCATCACGATAATAAAACCAATCTCACTAAAAAAAAAAAGTAGCCATGTTCACTTTGAGATCAATGCTTGAAAGATAAACAACAAAATTTAGCTTATTCACAATACTGATCGTGGTACAAATTTATTACGAACTTTTTAATTGTTGCACTCTTAGAATATTATTCTGCCATTTTCCGAGTCACTCGAACTTTGCTGTAAGACTCGCTCGAATATCAATTCGATGTGACGTGCTGCCATAAAAATACTTTATGTGGAAAACAAAGAAAAACCAATCTTCGAACAATTAGTTCAACAATGGCCATTGCTTCGTCGACGTACAAAGAAAAATGATTTTATGAACTTTTTCTCTTTTTTTTTTCCGGGGTACTAAACAGCTTTTGGTTCGAAGCAGTCTGGCGTGACAATTTAAACTAATTGCGAAACTTTTCAATCGAACTCGTTGTCAAATAACCCGTCAAAGTGAATTGAATGTTTTCTAAACAACTGTAAGTAATATTCTGTGAGAAAATGGAACAGAAGCAGCTTTTGAATGCCTCAATTGCTTCTCAAACACTTTTGTTTAAGTAAACTCTGAACCGAGCATAAATTAAAAAACAAAGTAGATTTGCAGTACGCGATTACTTACTGTGTTCCGTCCTTCTTCACAAGTTCTCCATAACCATGTCGCTTGCCCCGTCTCCATTCACCAACGTACACGTCCCCATTGGGATATTTATACATCCCTTCTCCGTCATCCGGCGGCGCTTCTTTATCGTTTTTCGTTGGATTAACTGGGTAATACTCTTCATCAGAAAAATCATCGCAGCAGTCACTGCACATCCACCAATCTCCGAACCAGTGCTTGCAGCATCGACAACAATAACACTTGGGACCGCATTCACAACACCTACAGAGATGACACTGGCAAATCATGCTCATACACGACCCCATCTTGTCAAGCGAGAATAATTTCCAACTTGTTTTTTTTCTGAACTACGAGTTTTGAAGCGACGTTTGGTCGTATGATGGGAGTTGTCGAGGAGGTCACGGTGCGAATAAATAATTCTAAATGCACGGTGATTAACATACGCTAAGCTTTTGAAGCGGCGATTCTAAAAGGGGTCAAAGCGCGTGACTCATGCATGAATGCCTTAAAAACAAACTCGCGCGGTGAATGAATGACTAACTCAAAAGGTAAGCGCATGCAAGCAATATGACCCTGAGTTTTCAATTTTTTGAATTCTAAATGCCGCCCCTTTGGGTCTGATAACTAATATAGAGACGTGAGAACTTACAGCTTTTTCAATATTTTGACGCCGATATTATTTTTTTTCTGAGAGTTCGCCTTACCCTCCCCATTACAACTTCCGTTTCCTGTTTACATCGGCATCTTATTTTCTCGTTTAATCGTTCTAACCACTCGGCTGTCGCTGAATCACCCTGTGACAAGAGGATCTCAGTGGCGTCCACCGATAGCCTTGAAACGGCCAAGACATTTTGCCGTTGGGTACAGAATGTAAACCGCATTAAAAATCTCTGGTGACAACAATGGAATGATTTTAACAGTTAGCCGTAAAATGAGAAAAAATTTTAACCGTTAGCCGTACAATCCTTCACCCCATCGAGGAACCTCTAACAACATTAATTAACATTATTAATTAACATTAATTAACATTATTAATTTTAATGCAGTATAATATCCATTTTCTAAAACCGTTCAATCGTACAGTATTAATCAAAACACAAAATCTTAAAAACCTTCACAAACGTCATGGGTAAAACCAGGTAATGGGCTCCTGGTAAAACGCAATTTAATTCTTTAATCCCGAGGCTGAGTGATTGGCACATAGTTCCTCCTTATAATATCAAAACTGAATCAGACATCGAGATCACGAGAATAAAGGAAATGATCTCCAAATATAGAAGCTCTAAATTGATATAGGTGAACAGCAAATTCTCCTTTTCGACGCTTTAGGAAAAGTATGGTGAACAGTATGGAGAATATGCATCCCGATATGAGGAGGTAAAGGGTTAACACAATTTGACTTAATGACAAGTATAGACGTGATCTGAAGTTTGAAAATTCCGCGTGTGAGCTTTTGAGTGCTGTATAGGCGATAAATATGAGCATTGAAGTCAGACAACTATAGCTTCTGTAGCTCATGTTCAGTGTGCTTTTATTTCCAAAATAGTTATACATTATCATGTAAACGTCATACTAAAAATTAAGACCTGCAGAAGAATCCAGTTTCCATTTCTTTTGATCAAAAAAGCAATGACAGTACTTATTCAAAAACAGATCTACACGATGGGTCTGCTAAAAGACTGGACTCCATTCTTCGTTGTGGATCTCAAACAAGATATGAGAACCAGTCTTGCTGCAAAGACTTGCTTTCTGGAACATTCATCAGTTCGTCCGTTCTAGTAGCGATCGATTTATCCCTCCCGAGGCAAAAAAAAATTCGTTTTATAAATAGCATATTCACAACTAACCCCACATCCCACTAACAGTGGAACTTAAGATTCAGCGTCCTTTTTAGGATATAACTGATATCATTGCTGACTGAATATTACAAATGCGGAGAAGTAGCGAATGCATCCACGAAGATTTGCCAAAATGCAAAATGGGGCCCAACCTAAAGAATTTCCTCTAGGTTTGCGCAATCTGTCGAAACTGTCGTAATAAGGCTATAAAGCCGTTGAAGAGTTTTAAATTGGGTCGAACGCATGTTTTCAACACTTCAGTGATAGGCTTCAGTAACCAAGTAAGCCAGCCCCGCGCCTAGAAATTACTAACTGATTTAAGGAAAAAGTAAAACTACAGCTTATTCTCGCTTAAATGTATATTCTACAAACTAAAAATAGTAAGTGTCATACATTTTTGCTTCGCGATTTTGTTTTTTTGCATCGAAGATTAGGATTCATTTCTTCTTCATAACGGCTGGCTGAAATAGAAGTGCCAATACTTCTCCTATGTAGTGATTATCAGCTGGAATGGGGGTGAATTTTCCGGAACAAACACCAGACACTAAAGTATTTGAGTTAACTCTGTTTCGATTGTGTTCAGAGTCGGGTTTTTCTGAGTAAAAGGGCATCAAAGAAGAAGACAATACGGCGAAACTGGAGTCATGCGTGGAACCTGTTGAAGTTTCAATAGTGTAACAAAAATTTTCATATAGGAGAACAGGTCTATCAAAAATTACATTAATTCTCTTAATTCCTGGCCTTTCTCGTTCCAACAGAGATTTGTGGTTTTTGATCATTCGCAAAATTTTGCCTCCTCTGGAGACAGACACGCTCTCAGGGTGAGAAACTTTTGTGATGATGGTTACACCGCACAACCGAATCGGCCTTCTCAGTGTGAATGTTAGCACTCCTCTTTTCCACCGATGCATCTTGTCCAAGAAAGACCTTGACCCAGAAGTATGGCTCCATTCAGTACCTAGCGCACAGGAATCAGCGGACACATCGCCTTTTGTTCGGGGATCAGACAAGAACTTATATGCGCCGGAAATAGAGACAGAAGAAAACTGCTTGAGGACATCGATTATCTCATCTGAGGGAATCACAGCGTCTGAAAACTCTTGAGGCGACATGACTGGAAACCGAATTTTCCTCAACAATTCCTCTCCTAGGAGTGACCTTTTGCTGGCTCCATCCACAGCCATGGTTTCATCTGCGCATCTTTTTGTCGCCCAGCGATCCACTGCTTTGAACAATGATACCTCATCGATGCGTAACGAAGATCTTTTGACGACATCGAGCAATAATTCATGACTGAGCTCGGAAAACGAATTATCATCCATGATTTCTTTTGCGTTGTAATCGATCACTTCCCAGCAGCTCCTCTCCAACTTTTCATGGTTTAGTTTCCGAGCATGAGGGACGATACCAAAGGCATTTAGCGGCTCCATGGCTCGATCTTGGAATTCATTACATTTTGCCGCAAGCGAAGGAACGTCGTATTTATCAGCTAGATACAACAGCTGGATAGCGTTGTTCTCATTTTGAAAACTCGCATCGTCGCAATATAAGAAACGCAGAAACTGGAGGAAGATGTCTGGATCAGACTCCCCAATTTCAATCGTTTCATTCGTCTCGCGCAGCTCCCCATAGAACATAACAAAGAACACAGGACTGCTGGTGGCGAGGACATATTTGTGCGCTGAAATGATTCGCTTTTCGTGATCAGGAAAGGCAAAGTTGATGTCGCTCATAACAGGATTGTTATACATGTGCATGTTTCTCTCCAGAACTGTGCTCTTTCTGGTCTGCCATCTTTCTTCACAAGTATCAGCCATGTTGTCTCAATTTCATTAAGCCCTGATCCAAGCAGCTGTGGAATTGAGTCAAATGGCAAGCATACCAATGTAAAAGCGGGAAAAAAGCGCCTACGTGATGTTTATGCGATGCCTACAGCCTTCTATGCAATTCAAATTTACGGTAGGCAATTCAAGTGTGAAAGTCTACTTCGTAAGAAGGTTTTTCTTTCGTGTACTAAAATCTACTTGAGCAACTAGAGTACAACTTGATTGCGATTCAAAAATTAACTCACGGGGAATATCACTAAGTCTTATTGGTTGGAAGTGGATATGAACAAAATGTTCACTAAAAACTACAAAACTTTCAAAACGAAATTATCGGCGGTGTTATCAGCTTGATTGAGCTCAGAGTAATACGAGAATGCGAGCTGGACGCTACGAATGCAAATAAACTGATACTTGGAATAGTCATTTTGGACAAAGACTTTGCGCTTGCGGACTGATAATATTAGTGAGGGCAAATTTTCTTCCCTCTTACAAAGTTAATTCATCATGGTTTTTCGCGGAGATAACTGGTTAGGAAAGCCGACGAAAATAAAAGAAGACAAAAACGGAGAAGGAGCGGTAATTATTTATAAATGGGAGGGGGAGGTAGGTAGGTAGTGGTGTTGAAGGATTTTGGGGATGGTGTTGATCATATATATAAGTCCACCCTAGCTGAATTTCACCGGCTGCCGTATTCTGATTGCATTGTTTGTGGACTCGGCTCGCGATATCTGATTGATTTCCAGTAGTAGTCCAGTACACTTCGTTCACATTCTTTAGAACTCTTGCTGCTAAAAAAATGATCTGAAACTAGTAATGAAAATCTTAAAAAGATCACCGAGACATTTTGTACGCGTACCTTTAGATCTTGGAATAGTATTCTTTAGTAATTCAGCAATCGAACGGCTTTGTCGGTTTCAAAGTATTTGAAAACTGTCTGTTTAGTAGGTTTGTTAATAGCGATCTGATTCATGTAGACCACTGTATATAATCCGTTACTCTTTGAACACTGTTACTAATCATTCGAGAGGCTTAGTGGACAAGTGGTAGATACGGCGCCTAGTGTCAACTGACGTTTCTTTGATAAAGATTATCAATATTACTAAGTTACCAATGTTTCACACCGCAAGCTGATAGGGGGTTTAATAACTTCCAAGGACATTTAGTTATATCCCACAGCCCTATCATACCTACTCGATACCATAATTATTACGATTTTTATCATCACTATTGCTATTATTGTTAATGTCATCATTATTATCATTATGACTACCTTTAATTTTATTATTTATCATCGTCATCGTCATCATGATCAATATTATTATTATTACTTTTATTTTATTTTGCATACAAACGCAGCAAACATGAAAACAGCTTCTTGGAATCGGTGACTACTATCGATTCACGGCTTCGGTTGGGTAGAACTGCTTTAATAACCAGGCACATCAAAGCTAAAAATTGGTACTGATTAGATCGAGGAAAAGACATTGCAGCTGGCGCAACCTAAAACTGAACAAGGCACACTTCTGAATTACTCTCTAGAATTTTTTCCTCAGCTTCCTTCCTTTCTCATTTAGCTTCAGTTTACACTTTAATTGTGGAGTCTCATACAAAAGTGCTAGAACTTCGCCAGTGTGATGAATCTCTGCCGGTCGGCGTTCTCCAGAACGAACGTTAGACAATGGATTGGTCGTTCTGGCGTTATCGCGGAACCAGCCACCTTGTTGTGACGGAGATCCCAGCGGAGAAACAGACCAGAGACTCGTTGTACTTTCAATGGTGTATGGAGTACCCTCATGTAATTGTACAGTCCGGTTGAAGGTGACATCAAATTGTCCTTGCCAAAGGTTCCAGTTTTCGTGTTCATATTCTCGTCCATGTTTTCGTTCTACTCTAATTTTCCTGTCCTGAACCACTATGATATTTTTACCCTTATGAGTGATGGACACACTCGCTTTAAGAATGTGCGGGTTGCTCTCGCTAGAAGCAAAAATCCTCACTCCACATAACGAAATGGGCTTTTTCAGAGTGATTGTTGGCACCCTTGTTTTGTCAGGATGCTGTATGCAATCAAGTAGAGAGAAATGATCATCATGTGCCCTGCGTACCTCATGAGTAGATACTTCGTGGCCTTCCTCTCGGGGATGTCCTGAGAACCTGAGTCCATCAGGAATGGGAACAGAAGTAAAGTACTTGAAAACATCAATAATCTCGGTTTTTGATAAAATATCTGAAGGAATTACTACTTCCGAAAACTGGTTAGGTGACATAAGTGGAAAACGAACATTCTGCAACAGTTCCTCCCCCAGCTCAGACGTTTTGTTCGCTCCATTGACTTCCTTGCTTTTCTCTTTGCATCTTTTTGTCGCCCATCGATCCACAGCTCTCAACAACGACACTTCGTCAATGCGTAACGAAGATCTTTTCACAATTTGGGACAAGAATTCATGACTGACCTGGGTAAACGAACCAGCAGCAATTTTTGTGTTGTGTTGTCGATCACTTCCCAGCAGCTCTTCTCTAGCTTTTCATTGTTTATATTCCTGGCAAAATGAATGATGTCAATGGCATTTTGCGGCTCCATGGCTCCATGGAGGAAATCCAAACACTTCGTCGCAAGCAAGGGAACGTCGTACTTATCAGCTAGATACCACAGCTGGATAGCGTTGTCCTCATTTTGGAAAGCGACATCGTCGCAATACAAGGAACGCAGAAACTGGAGGAAGATGTCTGGATCAGATTCTTTTATTTCAATCGTTTCTTTCGTCTCGCGCAGCTCCCCGTAAAACATAGCAAAGAACATAGGACTGCTGGTGGCGAGGACATATTTGTGCGCTGGAATAATTCGCTTGTCGTGATCAGGAATTAAAGGCAAAGTTAATGTCGCTCATAACAGGATTGTTAAACATGTAGATGTTCCTCTCCAGAACTGTGCTCTTACTGGTCTGCCACCTATCTTCACAAGCGTATCGCAATTTCGTCACTAGGAAAGACTGCGGTCAGAGAGGCGTTTTTCTTTATGACAGGATTGTTAAACATGTGCATGTTTCCCTCCAGAAATGTGCTCTCACTGGTCTGCCACCATCCTTCACAAGTATTCGCCGCGCAGCCTGTCTGCATTTTAGCCGATTCTCAACAACAGAGGAATTGGATCAAATGAAGCACGGAGGAAAGTGTATGCGCAAGACAATGCTCTCATACTTATGCATTGATGCTTAACCTTGCATACAATTCAAATTTATTGAAGGGAAATCAGGCGTTAACGATGCAGAGAGACGCAGCAATGGAAAGACTCTTTTAGCACATTTCACCATTATTTTGTATGGCTTTTTATTGCTGTGTCTGAACTAGAAAATCAGATCGACATTCAAATAGACTCATCGTGATATTCGCTTTGAATAATAAAAAAAAGAAAACAACGCCGAGGTCATGATTAAGAGATGGTTTACCGAGCTTCGTTTAATCAATCAAGCACTAATCATCAACAAACACATTTTTTTGATTCCATAAATTCTTCTCTATTGATCTGCCTCCTTCTTTTAAAACTTTTTAGCCTCGATTCTTACAGCAGTGGTGTCCCTTAAAGATCTGAGCAATTATGTTAAAGGTGAGTTATGGCTGTTGTGTTATACAGTGTCCCTCGTAGAAAGTGTAAAAGATTTTCTACAGTTCTCTGCACTGAATATGCACTTGATTTATCACGTGATAAATGTAATTGATTCATCACTTTCCAGTGTACTTGATTTATCACGATAAATGAAACTCATTTATTTGGAGGCTAATCTTTTCCTTTCAAAATAATAAGAATAATGCATGTCATGTAAAACTATGGAAGGCTCGGGTCATGAAACTTGCCCTGGGGCATAAACTGGAATCCGTTTAGAATAGAATTTACCAAGTTAACTTTAGGACTCATGAAGTCTTGAAGCACTAATATTCAAACTCAACGTTCAGCATGCCTTTATTTCAATTGTAGTACAATTCAGTTATATCTTGATTCTATGTCATTTATCTGTAGAGCCATTCGCCGCTTGGCTACCCCCAGCAGAATTAAACAGTTTCTCTTGTTGTTGATACATTTTCTTCAGTTTTTTGATCAGTTTGCCACTCAGTGGCTCTCCCGTTTGATCATGTGTAGGAACTCCCTGTGACACAAAATGAAAATACTTAAGACTAAGGGAAACGTTATTGCTTGTACATCTATAGGATGATTTTATATTATTCGTTCAGTGTGTAAAAAGGGAGACGAATTCATACAACATCCACATCATTTTAAGTAACGTGATACAACTGCGCAAATCAATTGCTTGCCTTGGTAGAAAATTGGCTGCGATGAATAAGAAACACCATTGGAACGGGAAAAACTAAGCGAAATTAGCGGGAGGCACAGATAATGGACCATTTCTTTCAGGAATGAGAGATTTTATTCACCGCTAACGAGGCGATTATAGTTGGAAATCGCTAATACTCCAGCGGGTAAGCTAGACGATTTTTGCCGGACGTATGAAGTCCGTTGGCTATCTAATCTATCGTGGAGTTTTCTGTCCACGGAACGAATTAACTTGCTCCACATTCTACTCATCAAAACAAAAACTGCACTCAACTACGTTTCACCTTCTTCCCTCTAGCCTGGATTGGTTATTTTGCAGTTTCTCGTCATGTTCATAAGCCGATACTGTTGCACATGGTCGCTAAATTTTCCTCTACAAATTTTAGACCGGGTTTAAAATATTTCAGTATCAGTGGAAATAGATCTGTGACGCGTTGGGAGAAGTTCATTTCGTCAAAAAGCTCACAACAAACGAGATGTATATTTAAACTGGAGCTTAAAATTACACTTTTAATTCCCGACGGTCGCTCGATGACCGCTGAACTCAAATTGTAGTAAACAATATAAAAGATCGGACTAAAGTCAGTATCTGAGCAACTGCGCACCCACCCCTCGCTGACCCAACATTAACCCTAACTTGTTATCATGTGACTGTTGATGGGTTAAAGGGAAGGGTAAGTGCGCATTGCTCAAGTCAATATCTGAGCAACTGCGCACCCACTCCTCCCCTAACCCTACATCAACCCCAACTTTCTATAGTTGACTGTTGTTGGGTTACGGGGGGAGGGGTAGGTGAGCAGTTGCTCAGACACCATCCATGATCCAAAGCTGTCAGTCGTCTTAAAATGAAACCTCTTACCTGTTCATCAAATTTAGAATACTTGTCTGTTTCGTGTTTAAACATTTCCCATGGGGGAATTCTCGCTTTTGCTTCCTTTGCAGCCTGGAAAAAAAATTTATAAATTAATTAACCAAATAAAAGCTGATTTGAGAAGAATAGAGAAACTTTTAATGTTTCCTACATAACTAGAACTAGGCTATCTGCTAAAAACGTTTTTGAAAAACTGCACACTCATATTTCTATTTTTCCAACTCTATTTTTCGCTTTGAGATTACCCAAAAGTATTTTTGTTATTTTTGATGCTGAAGCTAAGCGAAAAAGCTCTGGACTGATCGGAATATTACTGACATGTCAGTTGAGTTGCATTGCGGGAGCAGG